ATGTTTTGCTTCTGACACAAGAGTTGCAGTGGGAGAACCTCAGATAAGAATCTGCTTTTAAATGTCAGCTAGGTCCAGAAAGCATGAAGCCAACTTACTACACAACCATAAAGAGCATTCTGTTTACTCCCTCCCTTCAACGCCAGACAGTCCTCAAGTCAAAATTAGCAAGCTAGGGAGGATGGAGAAAGAAAAGAAACCCAGCACATCACTTACCCCCAAAGTGGGAGGTCCACCTGAATTTGGTGCTAGCTGAGGGTGGAGAGGTTTAACTCCAAATTGAGTTCAGAGGGTTCTTTATTATTAGGAACTGGGGGTTCTAGCCACTGAAATGATTGTTGATTTAGGATTTAAAGTGATTATAGGGCTTTTTGTCTGTGAGCAACAAAGCCACGGGGCCTGGGCAAAGCTTAATTTTAAAGGTACAGTATTAGACAAAAATAAAGTTGCATTTTGATTATGTCTCACTCTTTGTTCTTGCTTAGTAGATTGATTACCTCTGCTTGGTATGATGTTTGTGATGTGCCATGCTGTGGATTTACATTAATTTTGCTACATCAGCTTTCTTTCACTTAGTATTTACCTGATACATATTTTTCCATCATTTTATTTTGGACTTTTCTGGATAATTTTAAGAGCGCCTTTGAGAAAAAGCATGAAATTGGATTCTGTGCTTGAAAAAAATCCAATCTGAGGTTTTCTTCTACTGTTAGTTTAATCTATGTACATTTATCGTTATTGACATGAACATATTTCTTCCTATTTTGTTTTCTGTTTATCATGTTTTTTCTTTGCATCTGTACCTTCATCTCCTTTCTTGCCTTCTGTTGGATCAAGGGAATTTTCTTTGGAAATTTTGAATTTACATATTCTATTTTTATTTAAAAAATTTTAAATTTGATACATTCTATTTTTAATCTTTTAGTGCTTATTCTAAGAGTTTTTCTAAAGTGTTTATTAAACTGCATTTTTAAACAAAATATAGACTATCTTTAACTTCTCTTCCTTATACAGACTTCTACATTTTGAACTTTTTTTTAAAAAACATGAACAATTTCTGATAACTGGAATTTCTATACACAGACTGTTAACCACTATTACAGTTCATAATTCATGATGCACATTTAAATATATTATCTCATTTGATTCTAGAAAAAGCTCAGCTAAGTGTTACCTCCATAATGAATTAATGAATGAGGCAAAAAAGAAGAGGAAAATTGAGAAATGAGCTCTTCAATTCTTTTTTTTTTTTTACAAATAGTTTATTGTCAAATTATTTTCCACATAACACTCAGTGCTCATCCCCAAAGTGCCCTCCTCCATGCCCATCCCCCCACCCACCCACATCCATCAGTCCTCAGTTTTTGTCAGCATTCAAGAGTCTCTCATGGTTTGCCTCTCTCCTTTTCCCCCACCATTTCCGCCCTTCTTCTCCCCCTTGTTCCTCCGTCAAGTTCCTCCTAATCCTCCTATACGTGCTCTTCAATTCTTATTGGTATCTTTAAAGTCCCTTGGAAGTCTGGGGACCTCAGGTTGAGAGCCACACATCTTAGGAATATAGCCTTCACCCTTTTCTTTTGGGAAGGGAGAGGAGAGAATTATATTTTTGAACATTTATTCTGTGCCATAAATTTGCCTTAGGCAAAACAACCCTCTATTTAATGGCTACCTTCTTTACTTTCTAGATGTTTCATGGGTGACATGAGAGTTATTTCACAACATGCTTCTGTACCAATCCACATACATTCTCCAGGATAGAAAACAGGCTAATGTTGATGATATTGATGAAAATAATAAATAGCAATTTTATTAACTATTTATTATGTAACGACCATTTAGCTAGGCACTGAATCTCATGGGGTAAATAAGCTCTCAGATCCACGAAGGGAAGCCATTTAGTCATCAAGATGGTTAGATGAAACTACATCACCTGTGTAGTTTCAAAATAGAGACACTTCCTAAATCAGCAGAGATTCTGGTAAAAGTTTGCATACACTTATTATAATTGTCCTCTTTTTCATCAATAGAATGGCCTGGTTTAGGTCCTAATAAAGTACTTTATGCCTCTCCTGAACACTCCTAAGGTGGCATCTTTAAAAAATAAAGCAATTAACAAGAATAAATCAGCTAAAGTAAAAAGGAACCACATATGAACTTAACTGTAAATTACTGAATTATGTCATTGGGATATTAAATGTGTATTGTGTTCTTAAACTTTTCTCTCCTCCCATTTCCTACAGAGATCCAGGAGATTTGTGGCAGAGCTGGAAGTAGAAGCTGCTTGAAGCCAGTGGCTTTTATGTCTTGAAAAGGATTATCTTACTTGATGACATCAAGCCAGATATCCCTGGATGGCAATGGAAGGCATTTAAAGGCAGTGAGATGTCAGGGTTTGTGGGTCCTTCCAGTTGTGGAGACATGAGTAATTCTGTATCAGAACCCAAGGAAGACTATGGCAGGCTCAGGAATGCTCAGCACTTAGTCTTGCCAAAGATTCCCCTATCCAGAGTGTTGGATAGGAGCAGCAGGAACAAGGGATCTGAAGAAATCGTGCCAGTTCAGTAAATGAACATCTGATCCCTAATCAGTATGGACAAATATAATGACATGAAATCTCAAGCTTTGGTTCTAGATGAGACCATAGGATGTTTGTACATGTCATGAAGATAGGGAATCCTTAATAATAACTGCAGTTGATATCCCACCAACATGCTACAGTTGAATGTCAGGGTCTTATTTATGTTCATTTAAAGACAATTTTAAAATGTGATATTCCTAACATGTTGAAGTGTGTCAGCTAAGATCCATCTATTTGCTAAGCTTCTTATTCAAAGTTTCAGTAACAAACAAAGGAAACAAACTCTTACAGTGGACAATTGTCCTCTGAATGTATAAGAGTTCTTAAGAACTTTTCTAGTTAGCAAGGTCCTAGGTCCCTCAGAAGACATAATAATTTTAAGACCATATGGCAAAGTATGAACTATGGTTGTTTCAGGTATGTGTGTGCTAGAAATCTTAGTTGTCCCTACATCCCCCCCCCCCCGCTTTGTGTCCCCTAGGCTTACCAATATAGAATAGATTAAAAGTCTTTCTTGCCCTTTGGCTTCCACTTTGGTTAAAGGGTAGTACCCAGAAGAGTGAATTCACCTATTATTTGTGTCCCCATCCTGGATTCTCTTTGAGGTCTCTGTGAACTAACTGCATTCTGAAGATCACAGCTGTTGTCAGGTGGCTCTTTCTATCACAGCTGTTTTACAATCCAGTAACCACTCCCACCCCACTCCTCCCTTTCCCCCTTCCCACTGCTCCCACTTCTTCCCCTCCCCCTGTTCCTTTCCCACCTCTCTTCCACACCCTCGCCTTATCCTTCTCCCTCCCCTCATACTCTACTCTTTGCCTACAGGTAACACCATATTGCAGGCCGAATTGTGTCACCTCTAAATTCCTATTATGAAATCTTAATCCACCAGTACCTCAGAATGGGACTGCATTTGGAGATGGAATCTTTACAGATGTAGTTAAATTAAAACAGGGTCATTAGGCCTCCCCAGAAGAGATTAGGACACAGACAGGTACAGAGGAAAAGACCATGTGAAATTACAGAAAGTAGCCATCTACAACCCCAGGAAAGAGGCCTCAGAAAAAAACCAACCCTGCCAACACCTTCATCTTAAACTTCTGAACTCCAGAACTATGAGAAAATAAATTTCTGTTGTTTAAGCCATCTAGTTTGTGGTGCTTTGATGTGGCAGCCCTGGCAAACTAACACATGCCATAAATTTCCTCCTTTGCTGACAACATGGGAAAAAAATTCTCTATTAAACTTCTCAAATCATTTGAGTCCTATTTATTCCCTGCTGGGACTGACTGATCCGGGAGGATTATACAGGACTCTTACTTCCTGATTTGTTCTTAAGAGTATTTTGCAAAATTTCTGCAGTAACCATGGAATACATTTTTTTCTCTAAAGTAAAAAACACTGTCGGGGCACCTAGGTGGCTGGTTAAGCATCTGACTCTTAATTTCAGCTCAGGTCATGATCTCATGGTTTGTGAGTTTGAGCCCAGTATCGCACTCTGTGCTGATGCTGTGAAGCCTGGTTGGGTTTGTCTCCCTCTCTCTCTGGCCCTCCCCTGCTTATTCTCTCTCTCAAAATAAATAAACACTTGAAAGCAAAAACACTAATACATGAAAGAAAACTTGATTTGGGAAATTTCCATATATGATGAATTTATAAAATTAAAAAAATTGTTTTTAATGTTTATTTTTGAGAGAGAGAAAGACAGAGCACAAGCAGGAGAGGGGCAGAGAGAGAGGGAGACACAGAATCTGAAGCAGGTTCCAGGCTCTGAGCTATCAGCACAGAGCCCAACATCGGGCTTGAACCCATGAGCCCTGAGATCATGACCTGAGCCAGTCAGATGCTCAGCCAAAGTTGGACACTCACCTGACTGAACTACCCAGGCACCCCTAGGATAGATTTATAATCATAGGCATCCAACATCAATTCTCCTCCATAAATCCCCTACTCTAGATTCCGTTATGTCTAAGGGATTATGAAACCAGGGAATATGACTCCAGTGCTGAAATTAGGGAAAGATGCCATCTTTGGTCCAAAATCTACCAGTATTTTTTATTATATCTGAAGGTGGCTGCCCATGCTTCCTTTTGTGGGAAAGAGCAAAGCTCTGCATTAAGTGTAAGTGACTGTTATAGCACCCACTAAATATCCTGTTATACCAGCCCAACTCACAGGGGCAAGCAGCATCAGGAACAAAACTGGCTCTTACAAGCAGCACTAGAAAGCAATCAGACTCAGAAGCCACACTGGGAGGGAAGGGGAGGGAAACTGGCATGACAGCATACTCCTGGCTGTCACATCCAAGAGAAAAAGGAATTCTTTCACCAGGAGTCAGAACTCTCCTTCAATATCATCTAGAGCTTTCCTGGGCTTGCTCACTTGCTGGTCTCAGTAATATTAAAGGCACATTGCAAAATACTTGCTTTGAAATTTAGAAACAAATTTTATTTAAGATCTGAAATACAATTCCTAAAATATCAACTTCTCCAGAAAACCGTGGCTACACAATAATGCATTGCCTCTATTATGTTAGAACGTGCATTAGACTCAAATACAAAAACCATGAAACAAACCACCATCCTTCAACAATTTGAGCAAAGAGAGAATGCCTAAGGAACAACATAGATGGACTTGCAGAGGATGGGCTGTTTTACTTCAAGCACCATAAAAAAAAAAAAAAAAAGAGCACAAATGCATGGGTTTTCGGGTATATACATTAAGTTGAACCTTTGGCACTAGGAATCAGGGCATTTTGTCACGGAGCATTAACGCATATTAGAAAATTGTGTAGTGTCAAAGGGATAGAACCACCAGCATTCAAGCAATGTTGTCAACTAGGCAATAAAATGTTCTACTGAATGTTTCTTCTTTGTCTAATTACTGCATACACTGGTAGCAACTTTGAAATGAGAAAAGGAGCTTGCACACCTTTCATTTTCTGTTTAAAACAAAACAGAAAACAAAACTGAAACATAAGCCCTGTTATACATTAACAATTTTTAAAGAACATCAATTATACAAGAAAAAGACTAAGAACAAAAAGAGTGTTTACAGATACCAGACATAACAGTGAGTGGTCAGTAGACCCTCACAGGGCTTTACGGTGGTACTCAGCCGAAGCCACTTTGTAATCACTGGCAGTAAACAGAGACGCAGCATTCTTTGCCAGATATTTTAGGAAATCATGCAAATAGCCCAACAATAATGCAAGGCTCTTCTCATCAAGGGGCGTATATGCCAACATTGCTCCGATTCTTACAAATAATCTCAGTAGATGTGGGGCTCCATAAACCTGGGACATTGGTGCATCAGGGTGAGCCAAGAGGATTTCGGCATACTGGGGCCTCTCAAATTTGTAGAGCAGCTGAGTGCCCAACATCACATTGAAATATTCTTTTATTCCTGCCACAACTTCATTAACCGCATATTCCTTATTATCGACATTTCCCTGCGACTTCTTACAATTTGCATACTCTTCCAGGATAGCATCTACATTTTTCTTAGCAGGGAGTTGAAACAGCTGCTTCTGCCTGGTAACTAAGTCCCAGTCCTCAACAAGCCACGGTTTTAATTCTTCAGGAATCTTCACTTTAACTTCCATTCTATTCTTAAATGCCTCCTCACTTTCAACAGTAGGGTCTGCCCGGGCCCTTTTCTTCCGAGGTGGCTGAGGTGCTTCGCTGGTACTGCCACCATCTCCATTTCCAGGTGTCTTCTGTTTGTTCTTTCTTGTCTTCCTCACTGATCCTGAAGGGGGGTTCTCTGCAGAGCGACCCCCCCATCTGCCTGGGAGAGCTGGTTCCAGATTTTTCTGTTGTGGACCAGCAGTTTTCTTTCCTGAGGAGGCCCCTCTCATCTTACTTCTCTGCATATTGCTTCTAGTTGGTTTTTTGAAGTTGTCTTCTTCTGCAGATTGTTGTCCACGAGTTTGAGAACCCTGCTTTCTGGAACTCATTCAACCCTGTTTTTATTTCAACCACTGTAATACACAAAGCATTTTACTTATTTGTTTTCTATGGTGACCTTTAACACACTATGCTTAATAAAACACCCATCCAAGTACAACATAAGCTATTCTCTTGGAATCTGAATCTCAAATCCAGTTCAGGATCATGTGTAAGTGACTTACTACCTCCACCCTCTTTCTCTGATCCTCACTACCAACCACTACTCTCATCCCATCCAATCACTCATCAGACTTGCCCATAAGTTAGTTTTTTGGTGCCACTCAAAAGATAGGAATGTAATTTTAAACAAGGAATGAATTAAAATGGCAAAGAAATTACACAAGGCAGTGGAGGTGAAATTCAACACTCTAAACAGGAAAAAATGACAAGATGAAAGAAGTTTAATTTAATTGACTAAAGGCAAAACAAGTAACACTAAAGGTTTTTTGTAAGAGTCCAGGTAGGCCTGAACTAGAGTGATGACAGAGTCTAGAGAAACTGAATTCAAAACTAGGTAAATGAAGGAGAAGGAGTCGTCAAAGATAGCTCTATAATTTTAAGCCTGGGTAATTAACGAATTAATAAAATCACTGATTTTAGAGCAAATCAGAGAACTCGAGATGCTGGCGAGGATGTGGAGAAACGGGCACCCTCCTACACTGTTGGTTGGAATGTAAACTGGTACAGCCCCTCTGGAAAACAGTGTGGAGGTTCCTCAGGAAACTAACAATAGAACTCCCTCATGACCCAGCAATAGCATTGCTAGGAATTTACCCAAGGGATACAGAAATGCTGAGGCATAGGAGCACATGTACCCCAATGTTCATAGCAGCACTCTCCACAATAGCTAAAACATGGAAAGAGCCTAAGTGTCCATCAACAGATGATTGGATCAAGAAGATGTGGTTTATCTATACCATGGAATACTCCATGGCAATGAGAAACAATGAAATCTGGCCATGTGTAGCAACATGGATGGACCTTGAGGGTGTTATGCTGAGCGAAATAAGTCAGGCAGAGAAGGACAAATACCATATGTTTGCACGTATAGGAGGATTAGGAGGAACTTGACGGAGGAACAAGGGGGAGAAGAAGGGCGGAAATGGTGGGGGAAAGGGAGAGAGGCAAACCATGAGAGACTCTTGAATGCTGACAAAAACTGAGGACTGATGGATGTGGGGGGGAGGGGGGGATGGGCATGGAGGAGGGCACTTTGGGGATGAGCACTGAGTGTTATGTAGAAACTAATTTGACAATAAACTATTTGTAAAAAAAAAAAATCACTGATTTTAATGATCAGTTTAGAATCAGCAATAAAGTAATAGGAAATAATTAATCCATCCATTCAATTAACTATCATACATTATCGCACATCTGCTTTGAGACAGGTACTATGCTCGGTGCTAAGGATTCAAATATCTAAAGTGGTCAATTAAAAAAACAATGAGGTTAGGGGTGTTATGCTAAGTGAAATAAGTCAAGCAGAGAACGACAGATACCATATGTGGAACAGGAGAAAAGTCAACAGAGGACCATAGAGGAGGAGAAGGGGAAAAAATAGTTAAGGAGAGGGAGGGAGGCAAGCCATAAGAGACTCTTAAATACAGAGAACAAACTGAGGGTTGAAGGGGGGTGGGGGAAGGGGAAAATGGGTGATGGGCACGGAGGAGGGCACTTGTTGGGATGAGCACTGGGTGTTATATAGAAACCAACTTGACAATAAACTATAAAAAATAAAATACTTCAATAAATAATAAAAAGAAAAAAAACCAATGAGGTTAGTACAATGATAGTTACAGGCGCAGAGTATTTAGAAGTAAACAAGAAATGGTACATGACACAACTTTCAGTATTAGCTGAAATCACATGGAGGAGGGAGAAGTCATTGATGACTCCCAGGTTTTGAGAATGGGTGATTAGGTCGTTAGTATTATCACATGAAACTGTATCTAGAGAAGAAAATGGATTGCAGAGGAAAGAAGTTCAGTACTAAATCTATTAAGTGTGAGGCGTACAGTTAGATATTTACTTTAAAGCTCAGCTAAAGGTTAGAGCCAGAAACAGGGATCTGAGAGTAATCATTTTATAGCTGCTACTGGAAGCTATGTATGAAAGCCATTGAAATCATTCATGAAGAGAAGTGGGAAAAAAAAAACTGAACCAAAGTATGGAATACTAGAAAAACCTAAAAAAGACATATAAAGGGTGAACAGAGACCAAAAACAAAAACGGTCAGAGCAGCAATGGAAGAATCAGGAGAATGTTCTTCTGGAAGCCAAAGAAGCTGGGAGTTTTAAGAAGGGATTAGGATAAAATGCAGCAGAGGGGTTGAAAAAATAGTGTTCTATGATTCTTACAGTGTGACAGATGAAGCATTTTCTTTGACTTACATAATCCTCTTCCTTCTTTCCTTTCCAAGAACTCCTAGTGTTTTCCCAGATGGAACCTCCCTAGATCTCCTGGGATGGTCTGGAAGGATAAGCTGGGAGACACAATCTAGAAAGGAAAACAGGTATCTTCCATGAAGATGAACTTTTGTGAAATAATACAGAATAAAGTAATCTAATTTTATGACTATGTGGTTTACAACTGTAATATCAAATATATGAGCACCAATGTTAGACATAATTCTACTTCAATTAGGTCTGTCATTTATCAGTTGTGAGGACTTAGGCAATATGTAAGCTCACTTAGCCTTTTTCTGATCTATGAAATGAAGCAAATTACCCACTAGCTTTTACAGGTTTTTGTTAAAAACTTATTTTAAAAAAAATTAGTTTTTATTTTTGAAACAGAGAGAGACACAGCATGAGCAGGGGAGAGGCAGAGAGTGAGGGAGACACAGAATCTGAAACAGGCTCCAGGCTCTGAGCTGCCTGCACAGAACCCGATGCAGGGCTCAAACCCACAAACTGTGAGATCATAACCTGAGCCCAAGTCGGATGCTTAACAACTGAGCCACCCAGGCGTCCCTCTTGTTAAAAACTTCTTAAATACAACGTGGCCAAACAGCTAGCACAGTACCTTGCAGGAATACATGTAAATATGGATACAAAGATGTTTGTTGTGGTGGTGTTTTTAATACTGAAGAACTGGAAACATCTAAATTTTCTTCTAACATAAATTATGTATGCACACTACGGAAGAACATTCAAGTGAATTAAGCAAAAAACCACGTAAAACACGGAAAGATGTTCGATTCTATATTAGTAAGTAAACAGGCATAATGCGTAGTATGTATAATAGGATCCTGAAGAGATAGGTCAAAAAAGAACTATCAGTCTCACACAGTTCTTATGAACAGTGAGTGTGATCAAAATCATGTTTTAGGGGTGCCTGGTGGCTCAGTCAGTGAAGTGTCTGACTTCGGCTCAGGTCATGATTTCGCACTCCTTGAATTTGAGCCCCACGTCAGGCTCTGTGCTGACAGCTCAGAGCCTGGAGTCTGCTTTGGATTCTGTGCCTCCTCTCTGTACCCCTCTGCCTTTCACTCTCTCTGTCTCTAAAATAAACATTTTAAAAAATCCTGTTTTAAGCTGATATGTGTAAATGCATAGGAAAGTATCTAGATGAATAAATACCAGATTGTTAAAATCAGGGTAACCTTTAAGAAAAAATGAGGGATGATGGTGGATCAGCCTTAAACCAGACTTCTCTGGTAACTGTGGCCTTTCACCCACAGAAAAAGCCTCTCAACCAATCCCTAGACGTTAAAACAATGTTGAGCAGGTATCAGAGAAACCCTGAGGGGGAAAGTAAGAGGTAAGAAATGCTAGACAGAGGTTTGAATCAGGGAAACCAGTTATTGGAAAGACAGACCTGGCTGGAAGAGCTTTCATTAAGCAAATGATATCCTCTAATTAAGAGCACAAAACTCTGAGCAGAAATTAAAGGACAAAGGTGGTCCTCAGAGAGCATCAAAACCTGAAAATTCAAAACCTGAAAATACAGTTACTGACCCTGTGGGAATCAGAAACCTTCTGGCTGAGAGGGATATACACACACATCCTGTAGAAGGATCAGACAGCAGCTAGTGTGTCACAGCATACATTGTAAGCTATCATGCTTACAAAAGTAATTTGTTTCAAAACAAACATTCATTGTGACCAGGACATAGGGGACACAGTATCTGATGTTTTAAGAGAATTTAGTTAATATAAGTGAAATCCAGAAAACCCACCTCAGAACTAATATAGTGCAGAGCTTCCACAAAACAAGGGGACAGTTAAAATACTAACTAAAGAAAGCAAGATGGCCCAGTGCAAGCCAGCCAGACTGTATAAAACAGAAGTAAGAAAGGCTGGACAGGAAGTATTTTGGAAGCCTACCTGGTCATCAGCAATTCCTTACTGAGGAGGAACTTGAAAACAATAGCTGAACCTACTGTACATCCTTGGCATTAATCACATATATTCATTCACAGAAAAACTACAAAAGGAATTCCACCTGCTTCTGATTAACTGGGAGAGTTGTCATTCTCTACAAATTCTATTATTCATATGAAGTCTCAATGAAATATCTGTCACTAGACAGAAAAATACTTATACCACAAGTAAAGGTTTGTGACCAGAGTGAATAAAGTCAGGGAAACAGCCTTTCTCAGAATTAAGTACCTTTATTTTCATCTGAGTATCCTACATATCAAACAAATCACTACCTATAAGTCAGAAACCAGAAATCAAAGGAAGGGAATACCTGTCCTTTTGATGTATGCTCCTTCTTGTAGTACAAGTTTGTGGATAGCTTTGCACTTCATACTGCTCTTTCCTGCTTAACACTTCTCATGATCAATGACAGATGTGCTGTGCACACTCATTTAAAAAGTTTGCACTGTAGATTAACTTGGGGCAGTTTTAAACTTTGAATTTGACAGTTTGTCTTGAGTTTCAGGCTTTATTAACATTGTTTATGAACTTAGCATGCTACTCTTTGCTCCTGTCATGCTCCCTCATCTAAATACCACAGAAATCCTAGCTCTTCCTTAAATCTCCAGTTGTAGCCCGTTTCTCTCCCATCTCCAGTACCATATGAAGCTGACGCTAGGACTCAAGTTTATGATTTATTTAAATGTCATGTTAGTTTTGCTTATAGAACTACACCATTAATCCCTTTTTGTCACAGGTATTGTTTTACTTATCTCACATATTTTCGAGGAGCACTTAGGTCCCTTGTGGGTATATGACAGTGAATCAAAGTGAGTGATTCAACACATGAAGAAAATGGAAGCAAATTATGGACGAATCATCAAATATTTTTTACTTGTTTTCTACAGGTCAGCTCTAGGGTAGGCCAGACACTGAGAAAACACATTTGTAGGTTTGCCCTAGGTTTCTATTTTTAATTTCTGTGTAAATATTCATTTAAACAAAAGTGAACTAATACTAAATATCAAATTTTAGATCTTCCGTTTTAAAAAATTTGCAACTACAACTCATTTTTCCCAATGTATACAGATCTTAAGCTGTGTATTTTATTAAGTGGCCATACATTAAAGTACCCCCTTAAGGGAAAAGTGATTCCCCCTCAATTTACCCTGTAGTAACTATTTAAATATTTTTGTCCTCATTTCCTATTAAAACTTCCAGACAGATATAGTGGGTCACGAGGGACTAACAGGTTATCAAATTACTTCCCCCATGCCATACCAATTTCCAACTTTATAAATAGTGTGTAAACCTATCACACCCATGCTCTGGTCAGCAGCGGCTAGTCTTTTACAAAATTAATGAAATTTTATGAAATGTTTAGCTGTTGAGCTTCTTAGTGATGCTTCAACATTTAAAGTGTCTGTTGGCCTTAAATATTTATGGCTCTTGCTCTGTGCCTAGTTGGTTCTTATACTGATTTTAACATTTATAGGAGCTCTTTATCAAGAGTTGTCATTCTGGGGCAAATATTTCTCCTAGTGTCCTTTTATAACATCCAATGTTAAGATTTTAAAGTTTTATATAATGGAATGTTAGTTTTTCCTTCCACTGTTAAAACAGGTCATTTTAATGGATGTTTTATATTTTAATTCTTTAACCCACCCAGAATTTACTTTGTACGTTATAAACTGAAAAGCCTGTATTGTCTACCCCAAGTAGTTAACGTTGTGGCACCATTTTGGGGTACTCTTTCCTTTACATATGTGTAAATACCACCACACAAAATGATGGTGGAATTCTCCATTTACCTCCCTTCCCCAGGAGTGTATAGGATTTCAAATCTTATATACATATTCACACAAAAACATACCCTTAAAACTAAATGTGTATTTTATATTTGACTTGGTAAAGTGAGACCTACTGCCGCACACCTTTTCTTACTTTATCATGGGCATCTGTCATTCTTTTTAACATCACTCTATAATCTCTGTGCCAGAATTTAACCATTAATAAGTTTAACTTATTAATGAACATTTAGGTTGTTTCTGATAGCTTCGTTATTACAGAAATGCTGTAATAGACGTAAGTAGATAGATATATTAGAGATTTCAGAATTATTCTCAAAAGTGGAACTGTTCAAAGGATTGGTATATTTTTAACTTTGATGAGATAGAGACAAATTCAATTTGTAAAGAACCGCTTTAATTTGTACTCCTAGCAAAAACCTTAAAGTTCATTCATCTATACCTTCAGCAACATCTTTTGGGAAAAAACAATCATTTTTTTGCTTATCTAGTATGCAATAATACTTTATTTGAATATGTGGGATATTGAGCATCTTTCATACATTCATGTGTTATATTTTTCTTATGTGAATATTTTTCTTTTCTATCAGGTTGTTTGCTTTCAATTTATTGATTTCTAACAATTAAATCCTAAGTTTTCTTGGGTATGTTGGAAATATTTTTTCCAAACTCATTTTCCTTCTAAGACGGTCTCTGTGTGTCAACCTTTTCCTTTGACATTTATGTTATGTCTAGGGAAAATGTTACCAAATCAATATTCTAAAAACAATTTCCTGTATTTCTTGGTATTTTTATAGTTTCTTCCAACTATATAACTTTTAATATTAAATATTAAAGAGGTCATCCTTTCCCCGCTGATTTGAAATGCTATTACATAGAACATTCTAAATTTCTAGATGAATATGGATCTTCTAAGTACCATACTCTCTTCCCAATGATTTTTGATTATTCAATTTTTAAAGGTTATCAGTGTTTCCAGGTTACCTGGTTTGTCAGCGACATCTGTTCTCACACCAGTATCACCCTGGTTTAATTATCATAAAGACATAAATGTTGCCCTAGAATAACACTTATAAATGGTTTCCAATTATGTTTGATTATTGGAAGTATTATTTTAGGTAGCAAAAACACTGGAGTCAACCCAGAGGACCATCATTAGTAATTTGGAAAGATAAAATGTGCCTTATCCATAATGTGGATTAACATGCTAGTTAAAAGAAAGCCTCTGTGAAAGGAATCAAATAGAACTCTAAGAATGGACGTGGAGAGAGCCAAGACAATTCGCTGAATAAAAACAGCAAGTTGCAAAAACGATACCTAGAGCATGATACCAAGTCTATGTAAGGAAAAAACCCCACAATAGTATTATGTATGTTTTTAAACAGATACATAATTTAGAGATCTAGAAGGACTAATAATAGTGCTTAACTCTGGAGAAAGTAAGAGAATCAGGGGTGGTGAAGAAATGGAAGCCCCAACATACTCTATAACATTTAAACATTTTCATTTTAAGGATAATATATTCACATATCAATTACATGACTAAAATTTTATATTAAAAATACAGATTTAAAATTCATCATCATTTTCTGATCTATTCTTATCCTTGGATGTCACACATAGCTGGACTTTTCAGTGAATTATCACTGTGTATCATACATTTTGTAGGCATACCATTCAGACTGGTTTCCCTCCCCCACCTTTCTAGGTTCTACCCATCCTTGGAGGCAGAGGTCAAGGTCCTTTTCCTCTTTGAGGCCTTCTCCATTTCGGAATACTCTGGACCTGACCTTCTCTGAGCTCCTATTGGCCTAACAGCCCACCTCCCTCCCTTTTGCCTTTAATGATTCTCCAAATGGCCTCCTGTAAAGGTTATTTTTTGTTTTTGTTTTTTGTGCCTACCCATTTACTGCATCTTTTCCAACAGCACAGTGCCCTCATCTGCAACCTAGCTTTCAGAAGGGAAAAAACATTAGAAGAAAAATATAGTGACTTCATGGGAAAATGAAGCTTTCAAGCGACTGGAAAAACCTTCCTTCATCTTCTCATGCACGTAATGGGCCATTTAGGAATGCAGACTCCAAAGGCTAACATTTTTGGTATCGGTGTGTCACAAATGAGTGTAAACATCTATGGTTTGTTGGAATAAACCTTTAAAACCACATATGTCATTACAGTTAATTTACATCCGTTCACTTCTGGATCTTGGAACACTTTCTTTATGTTTAACATGTTGTTTGAGTCCAAGACAAAGGAGGAAAGACACAAAAGCTGTTAGCAGACTAAATATGGCTATGATTTCCTAGATAAAATTATTGCTCCTGGAAATTCCTTTATAAATGACTATGATCAATATACTCAATATCTTTCTAGATTGTTAGGATAAGCCAGAAGTCATGAATCCAGAATTCAGTTCTAGTGGTAACTGCTGCTTCTGGAAAATCAGGAAAGAAACCCAACAGTATTATTATTTTTTTTTACATTTCCAAAAAGAATTCACTGCTTTTAGAAGTGTAAGAATGTATGTGTGTGTAAACCAGGACGTAGCAGAGAGACTAATAGAGTCAGAATTATTATTAAAGCAAACACTTGTATGTGATAAGCACTGTCCCAGTACTTTACATGTAATCCCTTCAAAAATCCCATGAAGTAGGAACAATTATATTTATTTTACACATGGAGGAAATTTAGGGACAAAGTGAGGGACAAACTACTGTGCCCAGGATCACACAGTAAGTGGTACAAACAAAATTCAAATCAAAGAAGTCAGTCTTTACTCTTAACCACTAAATTATGCTGTACATGGGAGGAAACAAAATTTAAAAATAATAATATTGTAGTATTTTTTCAAAGAATGTAAGATTATACACCCCTCTGTTGTTCAGGCACTTGCTGTACTGGAAGCACCACTGGACTTGACCTCATCATTCCCATCTTAGAATTTAGAGTGCTTTCCCAGATAGGTGCTTATTAATCTTAAAATATTCCTGGACAGTTCGGAAGGTTATGGGGAATTGAATTGAGGCTAGTAGAAGGGAGGCACTCACCCAGATTCTGTAATCAGGGATAGTTCTGCAATCAGGATCAGATCTTCTGACCCTTATTATACAGCAAACTTAGCTTTTCTAATGATGGCCTGGAAGGTCAAAGAAGGGGACAGAAAAGGACATAAAATAAAAAGATATGAGATCCCTTTTTTCTTCATCAACCAATGCACTTTATCACACACAAAGCACACCATAGCTGATAAATATTACACAAATGTTTCTTTTTCCCTTCTTGTGCTTGTATTTTCAAATTTACTTTACTGTACATTTATCCTGATTTTCAATAAAGTGATTGTCTTTTTTAAACTTTTTATTAAGGATAATTTCAAATAAACAAAAATGTAGAAGGAAGAGTACTGTAAACCTGCAACAATCACCCAGCTTCAACAATTACGAACTGAAGGCCATCTTGTTTCATCTATAACCCCACCCACTGCTCCCCCCCCCCTCAGATTTTTTTTAAGCTCACCGAATAGCTGATTTTCTGTATTTTATTATGGAAAATGTCAAAAATATACCAAAGGAGACAATAATATAAGGAACCCCATATACCCTATCACTTAACTCAAACAATTATTAACTTAGGGCCAATTTTGTTTCATCTATACCCCTCCCCACTTCCTCCTATCGCTGAGATTATTCTGAAGCAAATCCTAGTCACCTACGTATGTGAAGTCATTCCCAGACATTTTATTACTTAATACGCAAATATTTTCCTATATATTTCTACAAGAGAGACAATTTGAAAATATAACCATTCATGCCATTATAACGTCTAAAAAATCGACATAGTTCCTTTAAAAAACCGTCAAACCGGTCTTCAAATTTTCCCGATGAATCTTAAAGTTTTTTTTTTTTTTTACAGTTTGTGTGTTCAAAGCAGGATACAAACAAGGCCTACTCATCGCATGTGGTTCATCCCCTGATCGCTCTCGTTCTCCATCTCCCCTCAACCCCCGCCTTTTAAACTTTTCAATATGGAAAATTCCAATCCCCGCTATTTTGAGGTAATTCTCAAATCGTAAATTTTTTTCAGCGGTAAAGATTGATATGTCTCTTTTATAACTCGAATTTCTCCTAGGGAAGAAGTTGATGGGCAGGAAAAGCAGTATAATAAACAAATTTACATAATTTGTGTTTTTTCTCATTCTGTTACGCGCGTTTTTCACTCCAAAATAATAGCGAATATCTTTCGGAGCCAATATTGGTCTTAAATATCTTATAAGCACTAACACATTACAAGCCTCTGAGATAAACGTCTCTGAGGTAGATACTATTATTATCACCATTTTACAAACATGGAAACCGAGACACTGAAAGAACAGGAGCCAGCCCAAGCAGGGCGTTGGCGAGTAGGAATTTGAATGCGGCTCTGCTCAGCTGTAAAGCCATTTGTTAATCTTGTCTAGATACGCAACAACAAAAAGACATCGTCAACTCTTTCACCCCACCCCCACCCCGAAACCTGAAACGAGAATCCAGTTCTTCCCAGCAGCCGACGTGTGATCACTGCCGTCCCTCCAACCGCCATAGTAAAGCCAGGTTTCTCTGGCAACTGATATCCATAGGCAGACACGTCACCCTGGAGGCGGGCTTATGCCCTTCAGCCAATCACAATCGTCTTGTCTAAGTTTTAGAATGTTCCATAACCAAATGATTGGACGAAGCCTACCACGTCAGCGATGACACTTCGCCGCAGTAAAGGCGGTCGCTAGCAACCTGCTTCTTCACGGCTAAGGATTGAAGCAAACCAATCATCTTTCTCCATTAGTGTGGGCCCTGGCCAATGACGCTCGCCCTCTTAGGTTCTTAGCCCGCCCACCAAAAGGGCGACAGACGTTGGGTCATACGTCTATAGGGCAGGGTGTTCACGTGGCCTATTTTCACGACCCAGAGTTCCCCTGACCAGAGTTTTTTTTTTTTCCTGCAGGGAGGCATTATGGGTTTTATTTTTTCCACTGGGAAAGGAAGTGTCTACGTGGCCTGCGGAAACAGGATGGGCGGAAATGAGCTAAGGTTTCCGCGAGTGGGGAAGCGCGAGATCAAATCCTGGTGCCACGCCCCCCAACCTCTTGCGCAATTCTCTGAGTGAAAAAAAGACTGGGTGGCGGTTTTAATGTGTGTGAGGGGTGTTGGGGCCGTTGTGTTTGTGCGCGGGAGAGTTCGCGTAGCTTTGGGGTTGGGGTGTGCGCGCGCGGCATTTCTCGTGGCGTTTGAGGTGGTGGGTGTGCGCGGGCGTGCGCCCCTAGCGTTGGAACTCAGTGTTGGGGCGGTATGTGTCCCGGCGCGAGGTTGTGCGTCTGTGTGCGCGCGCGCGTGTGTATGTGCGTGTGTGCGTGCACGCGCGTGTGTACGGAATGTTGTCTACTTTTCTATGAGTTTGAAAATTGTTCTAATGAAAAGACAAATAAGTCAAGGCGACCATAACCAATAAGGAGCCTTTACCAGAAATATTTTGGTCTCTCCTATCGATTTAATTTGAGACCCTAAATATACACTTTCCTCCCACTTTTTTTTTGATTGCCAAAATGATGTTATATAGTTTTCCACTTAAGAGCCAAGCCCTCCCAATCCCATATTAGCAATACCAAGGAACAGCTTCTTTCCCGTTTTCTAGTATCCGCTCCCATCCCCCACCGCCAAAGTTGCGTGCAGTTTTCTTGGTACGAACACAATTTTCTGCCGGCAATATCTGGATGTGACAGCCTTCTCCAGTCTATCGCGCGCGCGCTCTCTCTATATATACGCAGACTCCGAATTTCTGTAGGGACTGAGGCTCTCTTACCTTTTTGTCCTGATCTCCAAGCACAGTGCCCTTCAGGCAAGTACGCACTCAGTTAATTTTCCAGAAAGTTCTCTGGGTGAGGTTTATACCTCTTGAGTCAGCCACTAGATGCCACCAAATCCTAGCAAAGGATTGGCTGTTTAGTCCCTGGAATTATGGGATTTTGTTGCCCCTCTTTCTGATTTGTTGAACTCCACAATCTATATGGATCATATATATCTTTCATTGCTAGGGAAAAATCAAATTAACTTCTGTAAATAGCCCAGCCAGACAGAGGACTATGGCCCTAGATCCAGATGTTTTTCCTTGTTTTCTTTTTAAAAAAATTGCCCCCTCTATCCCTCTCTTCTTTCCTCCTTGCCTTTTTTGGGGAGTCAGAACTGATGAATAGCCGCAGGCACTGATGCTGATGAAGACAGAATTCTTTGCGTGCACCTGCTTTTCAAATGCTGACAACACTCCCCATTGGAAAATATAGATGGCTGTTTAGTTAATAAAGACAGATAGGAACTTGGACCCTGATGTTGAAAACTGATCTTTTTTCTTGAAATTTTTATTAAGTATGAATGTTTGCACTCTTTTTTTTTTTTTTTTTTTGTAGTGGTACTGCTACACTTTGTTATGTCTCTGGAGTTAGAGACCTAATTTTATTTTATTTATTTAAAAATTTTAAAAAATATATTTATTCATTTTTAAGAGACAGAGACAGAGAACGAGTAGGGGAAGAGCAGAGAGAGAAGGAGACACGGAATCTGAAGCGGGCTTCAGGCTCTGAGCTGTCAGCACAGGACCCGATGCTGGGCTCGAATTCACGAACTGTGAGATCATGACCTGAGCCGTGAGATCATGACCTGAGCTGAAGTCGCATGCTTAACCAAGTGAGCCACCCAGGCGCCCCTTTATTTTTATTTTTTAATGTTTGTTTACTTTGAGAGCAAGAAAAAAACATGAGTGGGGGAGGGGTAGAGAGAAAGTGAGAGAGAGAATCCTGAGCTGGCTCTGTGCTGTCCCCAAAGAACTGACATGGGACCTGACCTGAAATCAAGAGTCAGACTCTTAACCAACTGAGCCACCCAGGTACCTGGAGACCTAATTTTAATTCCCTACTTCCTAACCCTGAGACCTTGGGCAAAAAACTTATGTTCTGTGATCCCCAGTTTTTTGCATGCTTTCTGTAGTTTACATGTTGTGTCATATCCTTTACATGGCTAGTCTTCTGTTCCTCACAAAATCCTTGTTAGATGGGTCTGAATACATAAAACTCAAGGAAATATATATCTTTCAATTATCAATCGTACACGTGTGTGCATCCACGAGCACAAATGTGCACATGCACACACAGAGGGGAGGGGAGGAAGATTTAGACCTGTGGTTATCCAAGTGTGTTTTCCAGACACACCAGGCAGCATTATTACCACTTTTGGGGAAGTTGTTAGAAGTTCAGATGCTCAGACCCCACCTCAGACCTAATGAATCAGAAATACTAGGGGTAGGGTTTGGTGATCTGTGTTATAACAGAGTCTTCTGCTGATTCCAGTGTACACTGAAGTTAAAACCACTGCTTTGGAAGGCAGAAATGCAATGCTTATTTTTGTACACTCCACTAGAGGGTGCTACAGAATGTAAAGCAAAACAATAAATGATGTGTTTATTGAGACACCCTGTATAGTTTTTCAAAAATTTTTGTCCTTTTCTTTATTGAAGTATAGTTGACATACAATGTATTAGTTTCAGGTATACAACACCTTGCATATTAGCAGTCCCATTTTAAGATTAAAAATTAACATATAGAGGTGTTCAGTTGTTTTCTCAGTGCATACAAATGGGGCAGTCAGGATTCAAACTTTACGTGCTTCTCCAGCCCAAGCCCTTGATAGTACACTGTTCATCTATAATAGCTTGTCTTTCTGGGCCTCAAAATACATTATAGCTACCTTGTTCCCTGCTTTAGCTAACAGTGACTAGAATACCAAGTAGAGGGCAGAAAAGCAAACCGAATAAATGGAAATATTTTGATCATTTCATACTCTTCCTCATCTCTATTCTATAATAAGATATCACCTAAAAGCTCATAGGTGTTTCCCTTCTTGCTTTTATATTCCGCAAATGTTTTCTCTACCCTGCACCTAATCTATTTTAGTTTATGCCTGAACCTCGGGGAGGAACTGAGTAGTGAGGAAACACTGTTGTAGAAACCTATTGTGGGCCACACTATATAGCTCTATACACATTAGTCCCAACAATAAGTCTGTAAATTAGGTGATAATTTTCATTTTATAGGTGGTGAAAGTGAGTTCTAGAGACTATAATTATTTTTCTTTGGTCATATGACTTGTATAGGGGAGTTTGGGTAATTCCTGGTGTATCTCACAGTACTACCTTGCTAAACTTTCTACTGCTCAATTTTGAGTCTGGTTTAGTTACTTACTGTTTATGTAACTTTTAAGAAGTTCTTTAAATTTTCTGAGACTCAGTTTTACCATACATTAAATGGGAACAAATATTCCTGCTTCATAATGTTAGAGATGCGGTATCTAAAACAGTAGCCACTAGACATGTGGGTATTTAACTTTGGATTAAAGTTAAGTAAAATTAAAAATTCAGATCCTCAGTTGTACTGACCACATTTCAAGGGCTCAGTAGCTACTTATGGCTAGTATTGGTACCAAATTGGATATCAACAGATACAGAATATTTCTACCATCCCCGGAAAGCTGAGTGCTGATTTAGAGTTACAAAGTATGTAAAAGGACCTAGCATAGTATATAATTCATGGCAGGAGCCCAATAAAAGTGATTTCATCTGCTTTCTTTCAGTATCAGAGCTAGGTATGTTGTCCTGTTTTATTGACAGAGTCAGGAGAGGGGAGTAACTTACCCAACATACTTTAACGGAGGATATGTCTGGCATTGGGACCTACATCTCCTGACTTTCACTCCAATATTCTCTCTAGTCGAACCCCTCCTGTTCTACTCTGTTGAGTGAGATCTCAAGGCCAAGGATGTGAATCATGTGAATTAGCTTTCGAGTCAGGGTAGTAGCAGAAAAAGACATAGGAACTGAATGCCTTCTATGTGCCAGGCAGCACTGTGTTCAGTTCTTTACATCTGTTATCTTAGTGAATCTTCCACTGAAGCCCAGAGAAGCTAAGTACTCACTTAAAGTTGCCAATTAGCAAATGGCAGAGCAAATATTTAGACTTCATTGACTCCAAAACCCCAGTTTTTTTTTTCATTATGCCATGCTATCCTCTTAAAAGTAAATATCCTCCTGCCTCTTCCACTTACTAAGTAGGATAAAGTTTCCATAGATTCCTGACTTTTAGTGGGTCCTCAGAAAATGCGAGTTACTCTTCTTCCTTCTTACATTTATAGCTGAGCCATTGTCTTCACAATCTGTTACAACTGGAAGGGAATGATAGCTTAGATCACTTTTTGGTTGGCTTCAAGACCCAACTCCAGATGGAGACTGTTTATTGTACCAGCCTTCAGAGAGAACAAACAGCAAGTGGCTCCAAGATCTCTGTTATTTTCAAGGCCATCATTTCCTCATAAAATGCCTTTGTGCTAATTAGAAACATGAGCCACCTGAGAGCAGACAAGTTGTAGAGAAGTGTCCACTCCAGTGAAACAACGAGAAAAATATTTTTCTTTCTCAGGGATGTTGG